ATACGCATGTCATTGGATCATGCCCTATATGCGCAAGTAAAACCTTTAAATATCAACCATTCTAATGCTCTCGCAAGCAGCTATCTATGGATGAAACATGACTGATGACCAGACAAGACCCGTTAAATTGAGAAGTTCGTAACGAACATCTGAAAACGCTTTGCTTAAAATAGGCAATTCGAGGCCGTTGAGTTAGATGTTATCAAAAATCAATCAATTCTAAAACTAGATAACTCACCATTGCTCGTTTCTGTGAGGCCAATACGACCGTTTCTTTGCACTCTATCCGGATCAGTTGCAGGGTGATGATAATTGTTTGTACTTTCTTTCAGTGAATGCGAAAGTGGATTCTTTCATGCGGGAATTTAGTTCAACACTCGACAATTACTTTACGGGATTACTCCCGCATATAAATTTTATTATGTTAAAGTTCTCCAATGTTTCGAATCATGCTCGATTCTTCTCCAGGGAGCGTCATATTAGATCCTACATAACAGTAGTTGTCTGTGTGTTTAGCTGCAAACTACACTACATAGGTTCACTGACAATTAATTAAAAGTTTCTGGTCAGTAGCTTTAACAAGCCGAAGAATTGTCTTAGACACTTTTTAACTTAAAGTTCACTCAAAATCATGTTTGATTTGATACTTCCGGCTCAGCCGTTATGAACATTAGAATTCTACTTGACTTTAACGTTTGGACAAAAATTTCTACCAAAGTAAGATCATATGGAAAGACAGATTAGCAGAGCGACTAAGTCAAAAAATTATCCATGTGGCTGAAAATCAACGTTTGTACCCTGTGATAACATGGTTACTTTCAATGAAACCTCACACATGGATAAGTGCATAGATACTTAATTGCCGCAAGAGCTCCTAGACATGGCAAGACCAAATTGGATGAGAAAGGAGGACAAAATTCGACTAGTACTTAGCGGTCAGCCTAATCTTCTTCGCTGACTCATCATCCTTGAGGTTCTTTTCTTTCGGAGTGAAGATTTCTTTGAGTGGTACGCTGGTGAACAAACTCTTGGCGTCATAGCCGACCACTGTTGTTCCTTGCTTCGCTTCCAATTTACGGCATATTATTTTCAATTGAATTGACAAACCAATACTGAAAGATATTGGGAGAATATGAAAATACTGCCCTTCATCCTCCATGCTTAAACATATTCTGCCCCATAAAATGCAGATGCGGCATTCCTTAAAACGATATACACGGCAAGATTTCACTTGGGCAAACAATTTATGTTTGGCTTCTAAATACTTACCTGACAACGAAGATGTCCAAATCACGAAGGGCGACATCACGATCAGCTGATGTTGAACCTTGAAATTGTTTGAATCGATTTGTACATGCCACAACTTTTAATTTTTAATTTTGATTTTTGTGTTTTTATATATGTTTCAAGCTCACCTTTATTTCAGGAATGCATAACTACTCGTTAGTTTCGCTCGAATGGGCTAGATATTTTAAGCTTTCAAATACCACAAAATGCAGTTTTAAAAAAGTCACTTGGATTTTTTATGTATGATGAATGTTCTTCATCGCCCAAATCTGCAACACGTTTACAGGATATAATTTGATTAAATAAAATCCAAACGTTTCAAATAAATTTGTGTAAATCTTCAGCAGTTATAATATAAAGCAATGTCAGCAATGTCGTGGAATTCATATATATATGATTTGCTCTGCTAATGTACACTACGAAAGTAATTTAAAACAAGGTGGATTCTTTCCGGGATTGCATCTAATGTTTGAACTAGCATGGAGAAAAAACGTATGTGAATGACTACAAGTTGTCTACTCTTAGCGTATTGAATGTAGATCAAAGTGTCAATATTTCATCTGCATATATTTTAGGGTGTTTCATATAATTTATATTTGTTATGACTTCTTTGTATATTAGTTGCACACTTTGCTTAATTTAGTACATTTGATCATTTTATTGTCTTATTGAAATCTGAATATAACAGAATTATAAGAAATAGACACAACGAAAATGAAAACCTCGTCAGTTATCAATAATCTATTGATACTATAAGTGTTGACTGACGATGCTTAAGACTGTTCAGACTGCAGTGTTTTTGAAGCTAACAAATGTTTAAACAATCAAAATACTGCCAAATCATTGACATTCAGAGCTTCATATTTTCAAAATAAAACATTTCGGTTAATGTTAGTGCTGCATAACATTCATGTTCTCGCTATCCCTGATCGCAAGACAACAGCTAAGGAAGCTCTTCAAAATGCGCCAGTTCTTCTTTAAACAGTTGTGTTCCATTTCTGAAATTCTAGGCATGTCCTCCATATAATGGAGCTGTCTGATCCGCAGTTTGTACGTATGCCACCATTCCTAGGACTTCGCCAAGAAAATCCGTTTTGCAACTCTGTGCATAATACCTTCGCAAATTGCAATAACGCAATCATTAACAAATGGTATGCCGAAAGCGAACTCGTACGAGTCGAAATATCGCCACTGCATTCGAATTGCCGGGAAAGGTTCGAGCGCGAAACCTGCCTCGTCGAATCAAGCAACAACGGCTGGCGCAAAGTTGTGGTCTGGTCCCTGGATTTTCACACAGGAGAGACAGCTTCCGGTTCGCGGCGATCGGCCATTCGAGAATCAGAGGTTCTCCTTTATGAAAGGACCAAACAGCGCTAGACACTCAGCGTTATTGAATATTTTGAGCAACATATCGTATATAATCCGTCAATAAATATTTTCCGAGTTTTAATTCAGGACAACATCTTTGTGCTGAAGCAAATCTTCGAGCAATGCTGAAGCTTCTAATCTCCTTGGCGGGCGATGTTTCTGAATTTCCGGGCAACATTCGATTCATTTCGTCACAGGACAAAGTACAGTGTCATTTGTCACTACGCAATAACACAAGCAGTTGTTAACCTGACGAAGGAACTAAATGCGCTGTCGAACTGAAGAGTCACTATCGAACTGGTTTAACATCACCAATGAAGTTGATCATGGCGAAGTACTCTCTCTTCTGTTATTGAATATCACTGTAGACTAAGTTATGCGGAAGTAAGTCGTTCCAAATAAGGAGGGTGTGACTGTTAGTCAGCGGCGCAGCTCGAGGTAACTAGCTGTGTTATCTATGGATCTTGAGTACACCGATGACGTCGTGCTGTTGACTCCACAAATAGCCTACTGACACTCACTGAGAATGTATGCAACACCATTCTGAGAAAGGCTGCAAGCGAACACAAAACAGTCAAAAATTATGAGAGCTCCCCCCCCGCTATCAACGATCCAAAGATATTTTGAAATAGTCCTACGATATACGAAGTGGATTATTTCCAGTACTTCAGAACTGTGTTGACCAACGATGGCTACATTGGTCCTTACGTGAATCGGCGTGTCAGACTGGTATCAGTGATTATGATAGGCGGAATAACATGGAAGGATTTAACTCTAAGAACGGATATGAGTATCACCCTTTTGAAGGCA